AATTGATCTTTTGACTGTAAGTGCTGAGTGGCGAGACCACTGCGAATTTTCGGCTCCCAGTACAGACATAATGGACCCACAAAGGGCTGAAGGACTGGAGCATCTGTCATATGAAGAGAGGCTGAGAGAGCTGGGTTTGTTTAGCCTGAAGAAGGCTCACAGGGGGATCTGACTGATGTGTATAAAAATACCTGATGGATGGTGGGAAGAGTAAAGATGACTGAGACAGACTCTTCTCAGTGGTATCCAGTAACAGGAGGTGAGGCAATAGGGACAAATTAAAATACAGGAAATGCCATTTAAAAATATGAAAAAGTTTGTGGTGGTGTGTGTCCTGGTCTTTGTTTGGTTGGTTGGTTGGTTGGGTTTTTTTACTGAGAGTGATGGAACTGTGGAACTGCACAGGTGAGGGAACAGGTTGCTCAGGGAGGTTGTGGAGTCTTCATCTTACTTAAAACGTGACTCTGCAACCTGCTCTAGCTGACTCTCCTTTGAGTAAAGGGTTAATTCAACAAGGGCAAGTGTAGGGTGCTGCATCTGGGGAGGAATTACCCCATGCACCAGTACAGGTTGGGGGCTGACCTCCTGGAGAGCAGCTCTGTGGAGAGGGACCTGGGAGTCCTGGTGGACAACAGGATGACCATGAGCCAGCAATGTGCCCTGGCGGCCAAGAAGGCGAATGGCATCCTGGGGTGCATCAAGAAGAGTGTGGCCAGCAGGTCGAGGGAGGTCATCCTCCCCCCCTACTCTGCCCTGGTGAGACCGCATCTGGAGTACTGCATCCAGTTCTAGGCTCCCCAGTTCAAGAAAGACAGGGAACTGCTGGAGAGGGTCCAGCAAAGGGCAACGAAGATGATTAGGGGATTGGAACATCTCTCCTATGGAGAAAGGCTTAGGGACTTGGGTCTCTTTAGTCTAGAGAAAAGAAGATCGAGGGGGGATCTTATTAATACTTACAAATACTTAATGGGAGGATGCCAGGGGGATGGGAGCAGTCTTTTTTCAGTGGTGCCCAGTGATAGGACGAGGGGTAATGGGCATAAACTTGAACATAGGAAGTTCCATCTTAACATGAGAAGGAACTTCTTTACTTTGAGGGTAGTGGAGCACTGGAACAGGCTGCCCAGAGAGGTTGTGGAGTCTCCCACTCTGGAGACATTCAAAACCCGCCTGGACGCTGTCCTGTGCAACCTGCTGTAGGTGACCCTGCTCTGGCAGGGGGGTTGGACTAGATGATCTCCAGAGGTCCCTTCCAACCCTAACGATTCTGTGATTCTGTGGTTGGACTAGACAGTCTCCAGAGGTCCCTTTCAACCTTCAACCATTCTGTGATTCTGTAAAATTATACGATGTAAACGTTTGCTTGTGTATTTCAGGTTTCCTCTCCCTGCACCCAGCATGCAAGCTTCCTTGACTCCGAGCACCCGTATGTCTGCAAGGGCTTAAACTAAGTAGAACCTTAGCATTCCCTGAAGAACAAAAACCAACGCCGTATGCATCTTGCAAGGTAAAAAAAAAAAAACCAAAAACAAACAACCAAACCACACCAAAACCCAAACTGCACATTTACTGGCTTTTTTAAATGCAGCTACATGCAAGTAAGGTTTTACTCTTCAATAATATGTCCATGTTGCTAACATAAGGAACAGTTATCACGGAAAAGTCAACCCATTCTTTTTGTATCTCATAAAATGCATTCGCTATAAAATTTCTGGTGACAAATGCCAACAGTAAGTAGGCAAAATAACCTACTACCCAATACAATTTAAAGAAGTAAGCTAAGCAATTGTGGCTATCTGCACTATAGCCAAATTGGTCTGAGCTATTTAATGCATGACTACTAGGATAGCAACAGCCATAAAACCTGAGCCATTTCTGCAGTCCTACGTCTAACCACTCAGTGCAACAAGTTTCAATTGCTGAAAGCAAGAGATCTTTCACTAAGGGCACACTGCCTTTTTGCTTCAGAAATTTGTAAAAGAATATTTACCAGCTTCACCAGTTCAATACAACTCAACAACAACAACAAGAAAATCTTATAGCACAGTTAAACACTGATGAGATCACTTGTCCTTCAGAAAAAAAAAAATAGTTACAAGTTCGTATCTATCTATGTGTGTGCATCTACGCACAGAGACATTTGTATCATTTCAGCCAACCTAGCATTTGGATAATTGATTTTCAAAAACATTCAACAGACAGAGGGATATGAATATAGAGTTACGGATAACAGAATTCAGCTGAAGCCATCTGCATGCTGCCTATACACAATAATAGCCTATTATTTAGAATCAATATACTGTAAACAATGATTCCTACGAAACCCCATTAAATGAGAACAAGTGGTCGTCAGCAAACCAGATTCCCAAAGCACCAAAAGCCAAAGCAGCAGGACACATAGAGACTGGATAGAGAGAGTGAGGCTGAACTGTTTACTTAGTAACTATGAAGTGAATGTGCTACTGTTTTCTGAACATCAATGGAGAAGCTACAGCTCGGAGAGCTAACCCCTGTTTCTCACCAAAACAGACAGGAATGCACACTGGATAATTTGTTCCTACTGATGATATCATTCTGTTAAGTTTACTGTTTTTAATAAGGAGCAAGTTTCAGTATTCACTCACTTTCTCCCATGTACAAGATCAGATCAGCCTCTCAGTGACCTACTTTATGAGTCATAGTCCTCGCTATTTATGATTCAGAAAAACGTCTTCTCTGACAGTATTTCCCAGACTACTGTGGGTTCATTCCAAGAACCAATTTCATCTTCATTGGTTTCCTACAGGAAACCAGACCAACTTCCTATTATTTTATTTTCCTTCACTTCAGCATGGCTCACATAAACTAACTGGAAGTGAGAGTGATAAAAAACTTTATTTTGCATAAACACAAGCCAACACAAACACCACCAAAAAACATTGAAGTCATCACTGGTTCAAAGTCACCAGAATGTGAAGCAAGCTAAGATTAGAAGTTCTCTTCCCTCCTTCCCCAAATATGATGCACACAGGCAAAACCAGTAAGTTTACATAACCAAGTTTTAATGGTAAAAGCTGTTCAGGCCTCTGGTGAAGACATCCACCCCTAACAGGTAGCCAAGTTTTACTCCCTCTTCTAATCCCTCTGGGATTTTTTTTATTTAAATGGTAAGCACTGTTGGACCGCTTTTAAGTCCTATTGATACCATAGTCAAGTCCTCCAACCACTTTGGTCAACAGACTTGGGGTGCCTAGGTTCTCTCCTCAACCACGACAACAGAAGCATTACTGGAGATACTAGGAAGCATAAGCAGCACACCCTGAAGAAGTCCATCTAGACTTCCAGTAAGACTTCTAACATTGCTTAAGTACTGGCCTGCTGCATTCATGCTAGCTTTTAAAACAGCTATTTTGATGTCTCCTCACTGTGCTCCAAGGCACATTAGATCTCCAAAAGCCAAAACTCGGTGCCAGATCTGTATGGGCTCAAAACGTTCATGCAGTGAGATATTTGAGGAATAAACTCTCCCAGAGCCCATGGCAGTGCCATTCAAGAATCTATAGCAGCATCACCACCACCCTTTCATGCCCTCCCAGTGTTGTGATTTGAAGTGTTGGCAGCTGCAGCAGCCACATGGACATAGTTTGGGACTAGAGTGTTAGTTCTATGCTAACACCACCTAAGGGACACAAGTAATTTCCATGGAGATTGTTATCCAACGCCCTAGTTCAAGAAAAGACCTAGCTGTGGACTGCAAATACCCAGCAAAGTTTGCTGGCTCAGGTTTCACTCTGCAAAGCAGCAGTTAAATTGTCTTCTGGACCAGAGCTACTCTCGGACTCATGCAGCTTTGTTCCTATACGGCACCTGAGCTAATAAATCCAGACTCATGTTTAGCACAGAGCAAACTCGATAATTCAATCATGCAAGCAATTTAAAAGCAAAATTATACTAATTTCATCTCTATATTCTGATGTTTGTTTTGTCAATAACTGCAGTTTTTCAACATGATTTCCTCTTGCTGGGTTTCAAGGCTTACAGAGTGATAGGAACAACACATTGCTTTTTCTAGGAAGGCTGGCTTACAAAACTGAAGCCAAACTGATTTTCATGAGGCTTAAATGCTCCTTTAGTTTTCAGCTCCAGAGAGGCCAGGGAATATTACTATTTAAGAATACTTTCATGTTGCACGCTATAAGGACAGGACAACACACAATTTATTTTAATACCAATTTGCCACCTGGCCATCAGTTTCAGTTTGTAATCATGAAAGGAAGTATGAATGAGGCTTCTGCAAGTAAATAGAGGTCACCTGTTAGTAAACTGAGCTTTTCCATGATATGGCAGTGTAGCTTAACATACGTAAAATGCAAATTAAAGTTACCCTCTCTATTATTCATTTTCTCCCCTTATGATGCAGCAGTACTTGCCAGGGTCAAGTCACTCATCTTCAACAAGTCCTTTTTGTTTCAGTTTCTATAACTTGATTTTTCCAACTAACACCCCAGAAATGTTATAATACTGCAAGTAGTAGCAAAGCTGTTTTCTCTATTTGTAGGTAAATCGTTCAAAGAATACCACCTGCATGAAAACTGGTATAGGTGAGGCCTTTCTAGAAGTGACACACACAGATACACGTATTGATTTTAATGCAAACAGAATAATGTGGTTTTCAGTGCTCTCTGGCCTAACAACACTGCAAAACTCCACTAGGAGTGATCAGCAAACTCCACAGCAAAAGCTGTTTCACATGGTAGAAAAATCAGATTTTTAAACCCGCAGATTTTGTTGATAATGACAATTTAACCTCACTTATTCTGACATCTTAACATATATTCAGTAGCAAGACTCGTGCAGTAATTCAGCACTGCAGCAAACACAACGATCATGATTTAAGGCAAAGTTTACCTGACAAAGTTAGCAGTTGTTAAAACAGCTATAAATCCCGCAGTCTAAAACAATCAAAGCAGTATACCACCACCACTGCATACTTACAATTCTCGGTGCTAGAAGCTACTCACCTTGACATGGCTCTGAGCTCCCAGGTTGTATATCTCAGTAGGTTTGACTTCATTAATGATCTTCACCAGGCAGGTGCTGTCCGTGAGATCACCATAGTGCAGCTTCATGTCTTCAGAGTTTAAGAACACAGAGTTAATACACTTTAGTCCCCAAACAATATGGCATTCTTGGTCCAAATCCTATTCCAGGTTTAAAATCCAAGTAAACATTTATTGGAAAAAGTTAAGAGATCATTGGCTGAAGAAGGTTTTGCTTGTTCCCCCCCCCCGTGCT